GAATTAGATGCAGCTTTGCTCTGACTCCTAGGAGGCAACCTGAACCCACCTCCCAACAGCACCTGGAAATAACCAAGGGTTAACCCATGACAAAGTGATGATGTTACTAGCTCTTCAATCTAATGGAAGGAGCTGATGGCTCACAGTGACACCTTGGAGCCTAGAACAAGCCTGGCATTTGGAAGGGACACCTTGGAGCCTAGAACAAGCCTGGCATTCTGAAGCTCTATAAACACTTGATTGAACAAGCACAACCATAGTGACCACTTCTAGTTTAGACTGGGGGTCTCCAGGGCAAGGAATATGACTCCCCAAGGGATATATTGAGATAGGAGTTAGACCCTACTTACAGGAAGATAGGGTAAGGGCCATGAAAGGAAGTCACTCTGCTTTTCTTATTAACAAAGTCTGTGTTTTTCTCCTATGGTCTGATTAATAGACAATATACACCCTTTTACATGCCTCTAAAGAATTTATGACCCCTTGTTAATAAGGCAGAAGACAGGGATATTGAGCACACAAAATAAGGCCAAGATGGAGTCACAGTGACTCAGTTTTCACAGCCAAAAGCTGGCTGCATTGGGACTTTGCAGCCAGCTTTTGGCTGCATAGTTTATATTCAGTAACTGTATTCTAAGAAGTACAGATCCTATGGTCTGCTGACCCCACAAAGAATAGAGTAATAATAAATCACTCAGACTCCCATGTAACTGTTTTCTAAAGCCCACTTCTTTATCAGAAAGCTAGTCCATTGCTCCAACTGCTAGGTAAATACCCCTTGCCTCAACTCCTCTTTGGCAACCCATTCTGGCCCCCTTTCACTACACTGAAAGCTTTTTCTCCTTCCTTAATAAACTCTGCTTTACTCTCCTCTCTGTCTGTGTCTCTAATTCTTCATGAGCATAGAACAAGAACTGACATGGGTGTTGGGTCTGATTGTCCAACACTACTGCATCAATATCATAAGATCTACTAAGATGTGGGAAGGAAATATTAGAAATTTTACATAAAGGGCTTTTTTTTTTTTTTTGTAAGGGAAAGATTTTTTGCTATAGGGCTCTTGTGCTCACCAGCGAGACAGAGAGACAGAAAGTGAGCAATCACCTCCCCCCACCCTCAGGTGGTATGGTTGAACTGCAATCCCTTCTCCTCCATTCTCCTCTTGGGATTTTGGACATGCATGCCTGGCAGGAGTTTAAGCCACTGGGTCTGGGACTCAAACTGCAGTTGACTACATGGCAATCCAGTGACATAGCCATTATGCCATCTCATCTCATAAAGTTTTTATCTCACTTTAAAATTTTTCTATTTTGTCTCCTAGTATATATTACATATGAACAAAATGGTACCTGTAAGTAATTTATTAAAAAACATATAACTTAAACATATGGACGTTAAGATTAAAAAGGACTTGGAGAAGGGCACTACATCATGATAAGACATTGTCAAGGGTGCTTCTCTCTCTCTTGCACACATTCTCTGAATAAAAATTTTAAAGAACTTTAAAACACAGCAATAAAAAAAGATTTTATTGATGGGGGATGCATAAGTTCTTTAAAAAGAACTTGAGACCTTCTGCTTAAAATCAGTTCATCAGCCTTGCCCTCTGTGTGTCCCGAAACAGTTCCGAAATACCATGAGTCTACTCAAACGTTCGTGCGTATAGAAGTAATTCAGGAAATGGGGAGCATTCATAAGAACATAAACAAGTAGAGTTAATGAAGACAGCCAAAATGAGCCTTACCTAAGAAAATAAGTAAATTTGCTCAGGGTAAGGACCCAAGATAAAGCCTCCGAGATAAGTTTTTACAACAGGGAAAACAGATATTCCCGACCTCTTTAGGTGCCACCTGCTCAGTCACATGCAGGTGATAGATGCTCTACATTCCTGGGAAAAGACTTGCAGACCTGCCCCTACCTGCGCTAATAACCACCTGGGCACCAGCCCTACTTCTCCCTACTGCTCTGCTACACCACTGCAGGAAGATTGTTAAAAATGCAGATTACCCGACCAGCTGGTAGCGTGGAGGTTAAGGCACTGAATCCCACATGGCCAACTGCATGGTCAAAGTCCTGGATCCAGCCTAGTTTACAGAAGAAATGTGCCTTACATGGGTTAAGCAAGTTACCCATGATTTTCTATTAGTTTTTTCTATTTGTTTCACTTTTTTTAACTTTTTTGCCATAGGGCACGTGTACATACCACAGAGAAACTGAAAAAGACAGTGAGAAAGAAAGTGAAAAATTACTCCCCGGGGGGAAGGGATGGCCACTCTCCTCCATTCTCCTCCTGGGATTTTGGGCATGCACGCACATGCACCCAGTTTGAGTTTCAAGCTGCCAGGTCTGGAACCAGAACTGCAGTCGGCTACGTGGGAGTCCAGCACCGTAACCACTTATGCCACCTGCTGGCCCCCCACATTACTTTTTCTAAAAGCTATGAGGTCCAGAAGATACTTTCAACTTTCCAACAATCCACTTTCCCATGAGTGCGTGGGAGAATTCCGTTTATGATCTTGATCCTTTTCGGCATTCAGATTCACATGACTCTCAGATTACAGAGAACCACATTTCCAGTTTCCTGGTTGCCAGCTGCTATCTGGTCTTTGTTCACATGAGCTTGGAAAGTCCAGAGATGGCTTATCTGTCGCCTACTATAAATATCCACCCACAAAGAAATGTTAATGAAAGATGATGCCTCTTTTAAATGCAAATGCCCTAAAGTATTTACGTAAAATTTTATTTTTCCTGTCCTAACTGCTATCTATAAAATGGAAGGTCTCAGCTAATTAACTTGCTCAAACCCTCCATCTCTAAAGTTAAGCAATTATAATTTAACACAGACTTCTGCAACACATGACAGTCATTTAAGCGGCTTCTCTTAAATTCAGGGCCAGAGTCACCTTTCTCATCTTCCAAAGCAGACACATTTGCTTTCCGTGAAAAAGCATTCCTTTGGGAGGTCTGCACCATCCCTAACTGTCAGGCAGTTGAGGGTGTGAAGCCATGAAGCAATGTGGTGGTACTCACTCTGTAAGCCTTAAACACTCAAATACAGAAATCCATGGTCATTACAGTCCTCCCTTCTCTCTGGCTCACCATGAGGGAAGCTAGCTGCCCTGTCCTAAAGACGCTCAAGTAGCCCAGTAGGTTAAAGGCAAAATGGAAGGAATGAAGCCTCCTGCCAACAGTCATGTGAGTGAGCCACCTTGAACCAATGTGCACCGTCTTGGAGACAGATCACAGAGCCCAGTCGAGCCTTCAGATAATAGACCCCTGGCTGACACTTTGACTGCAGCCTCATAAGAGACCATAAAAGACCCAGAGTCAAAACCATCCAGTTAAACTACTACCAGATTTCAAACCCTCAGAAATTATGAGATTAAGGGGCCGATAGATGGCGAGTTGGTTAAGGGTGCTGGACTCCCATACGGCTGACCACGGTTCGAGTCCTGGACCTGGCAGCTTGCTTTCTCATTTTTTTCTCTCTCTCTCTTGCTCTGTCCCTCTCTGGTCAAATTAAAATAAATAAGTGAATAGAGTTAAATAAAATAATTCTTTAAGAAAATTAATTATGGGGACCAGCAGTTAGTGTAATGGCTATGTCGCTGGACTCCTGTAGTCAACCACAGTTCGAGTCCTGGACCCAGTAGCTTAAACTCACACCAGGTGTGTGTGCGTGTGTGCCCAAGATCCCAAGAGGAGAAGCGATTGTGGCGTGGCCATCCCCCCAGGGGTGATTTCACACTTTCTCTCTCTCTGTCTCTGTTATTCTGGCAAGCACACACGCCCTATAGCAAAAACTTCTTCAAAAAAAAAGAACAAGAAGTTTATGAGATAATAAATGTTTATGAGATAATAAATGTTTTGCACAACAATACTCTTAGGACTCAACTATGAGAAAAAATGCCAAAAATACCCCTTCAGAGATTTGTCCTAGCAAGGAGTCTGGCCTGAACACAAAAACAATGGTTTATAATTGTGTTTTGTTAACTCCTGTTTCTACATGAGCAACCCTCAAGAGTTAACACAGCAGCCAGCACCCATGGCGTAGTCAGTGACACGCTGTGCTGTAGTGCAGGGCTGCATGGCCTACCAGATCCAGGTTTGTTCAGATCCAGGGCCTAGTCGACTCGAAGCATGCTGGGTATGTGCACACGTGATCAAGATCATGCAAGTTGGAGGACGTGGAGAAGCGTGCTCTACCATGATGAGACTGTCAAGGGTACTTCTCTCTCTCGCACACATTCTCTGAGTAAAAAGTGTTAAGAATTTTAAACCTAGTAATAAAAAAAAAATTATTAACCCACCACTACTAGCTGACTTCTGTAATCCAATCAGGAGGAGAATTTTAAGAGCAGCTATGGATCAGGTCTTTAGCCATAAACTCCCCGCTAGTGCTGGAACCTCATATCAAATTATTGTTACTCTGAACTACTCACCTGGCTTTTGTTTAAGTGACCCACGTGCGACCTACCCATACAAATGATATCGATCTCCAGTCTCTAAGAGATTCTTAGATTCCAAATGGAACCTAGGTTGACCTGCGTGGTCTGTGACATTCATACTACTGGGCATTTGCCTCTACCTTCTCTGTTGAGATCCTAGGAATTTACACAAATGGCTACCAAAAATCTATCATGTGTCCCACATGGTCAGCAGTTTCTGTCTCTCTGTTCCTCTTTGGCAAGTACATGAATCTTCTAACAAAAAGAAAGAAGAAAGAGTTAAAGAGAGAGAGAAAGAAAGAAAGAGAGGAAGAAAGAAAAAGGAAGAAAGAAAGAAGCAAGAGAGAAAGAGGATCTAATTACTCAAACAAGGAACTCAGTAGTCTTTGGATCTTAAAGATACCTTTGTAAATACGGCCAATAAATTCTTGCATTGGTGCACCAAGGTAGGAAGACAAGAGTCAGCCTTGTTTTCACTTGTCCCACATGGGCCTGGAGGCACATCCTCACCACAGAGTTCATTCCCTAACTAGAAGATCTTTTTAACTTCCTGGTCTGTGTTTTATAAGTCGTAGATTTTTTCTTAATCATGCTGCCCACATGGAATGGCTCAGATACAATCAAATTGTTTTTTTGATAAAAGATTCTTCTTCCGTTTCTCGTCCTTCCTTTTATGTCTTCTGCATTGAGCTACAGCAGGGGGAGTATTCAGTGCTTTATTGCCTGTAATTTCCAAACAAAAGGCAGAGTACGAAATAACTCCTGTTGTTCTTAGATCTTAACTCTTTGTGCCAAAGTATTTTTTGATTGTGCTGGAAATGCATTTTGAGGAGCTGGGTCACCTTCCCTTAATATTCTATTGGTGTCCACCTCCACCGCTTCAAACAGGCCCAGGCTGGACCTTCCCAACTACTTATAAGACACTGGGCTTCTATTTTCCCAACTTTATATTGGAAGATTTGGAGTACCCAGTGGTTAAGGTTCCTTCCCACCATACTATTCTAAGAACACAAAATCTATCCCTCCCCCCTTTTTTTTAGAATTATTTCAATTTTTTTTTTTTTTTTTTTTTGTAGAGGTTTTTGCTATAGGGTGCGTGTGCTCGGAGAAAGAGAAAGAGAAAGAGAAAGAGAAAGAGAAAGAGAAAGAGAAAGAGAAAGAGAAAGAGAAAGAGAAAGAGAAAGAGAAAGAGAAAGAGAAAGAGAAAGAGAAAGAGAAAGAGAAAGAGAAAGAGAAAGAGAAAGAGAAAGAGAAAGAGAAAGAGAAAGAGAAAGAGAAAGAAGGAAAGAAAATGAGAAAGCAAGCTGCCAGATCTGGGACTGGAACCATGGTCAGCTATGTGAGAGTGTCCAGCGCCTTAACCACCATGCCACCTGCTGGCCTTGTTTTTTTTTTGGGGGGGGGAGAGGTTTTTTCGCTATAAGGTGCGTGCACTTGCCAGACAGACAGAGAGAGACATAGAGATAGAAAGCGAGAAATCACCCCCCAGAGGGGATGGTCATGCCGCAATCCCTTCTCCTCCATTCTCCTCTCGGGATCTTGGACACGCATGCACACGTGCCCGGCATGAGTTTTAAGCCACCAGGTCAGGGACGCGAACTGCGGTCGACTACGTGGAAATCCAGTGACATAGCCATTACGCTAACTGCTGGTTCCCGGCCTTGTTTGTTTTTTAAGCAAAGCTTATTGGACAGGGCACAGTGGTAGAATGCAGTGCTCTGAGAGGCTGATTCACGTGGGAAGGTTCCAAGCTCATGTCCGGAGACCTCCCTGAGTACACTGGGACACGCGTGCCCCTGATCCAGCGTGGCTAGCTAAAGCTGGGAATGGACCATGGTGCTGAGAATTGTCAAGGGTGTTCTCTCTCTCTCTCTCTCTCTCTGTCTCTCTTGCTCATGAAATAAATAAACTTTTTTAAAAACTGAGAAGAAGTAACACTCACAGCTACAGCTACAAAACTTAAGTAGAAGAAAAATAGTCTTGTTCCAGACAATTCCAGATAACTTTCCACTATTTCCTTCTATTGCATTATTTCAGAGAACCCAGCCTCTTCTTTCAACCTCTACTGCTTCTTACCTCCCTCTCTCTAAGGAAAAGGCTTTCAGTCCAGCATGTTCCTTTCTTGAATGAAGCTGAGTACGGGCGGCTAACACAAATTAAGCACTAGAGCACTGTGAGCAGCTGTTGTGGTCATCTGTAATCTGGTTGCGGCCCTCACACGTGGACTGTGAGGAGAGTAGATGTGAACATGGGAGTGCTTTGGTCCACGTACACAATCTTTTTCTCTTTTAATTAGATATCTCCCCACCCCTTTGAAAACATGATCGTGTGAGCCTTCATCCAATTCGCTGTCCTGTTCATGAGGACGCCCGTGCAGGCTTCATTTGGCCTGTCGTGATGTCCAGTTTACCCTCCATGTTCCAGGAACACCAACCGGCCCCATTCGCCCAGGACTCTCCATGTTCCTGACTGAAAGACCTAGGTAGCCCCTCAGCCCCAGGCAAACCAGAATCATTGGTTACGCTATTAAAAATGTTGGCCCAAGGAACCAGCAGTTAGCGTAATGGCTATGTTGCTGGATTCCCATGTAGTTGACCGTGGTTCGCATCCCAGACCCGGTGGCTTAGAACTCACGCCGGGCACATGTACGTGCATGCCCAAGATCCTGAGAGGAGAATGGACGAGAAGGGATTTCGGCATGACCATCCCCCCTGGGGGGTGATTTCTCGCTTTCTGTCTCTATGTCTCTCTCTGTCTGTCTGGCGAGCGCACGCGCCCTATAGCAAAAACCTCTCAAAAAAAAAAAAAAGTTGGCCCAAGAGGTTTATTGGTCTTACTGGTTTTTTGTTTGTTTGTTTTTTAATTCTTAATTGGTTGCCAAGATTTAAATATCAGTTGATTTCCAACACACACACATAATCTAGATTTCTGGCTTCTCTTTCGATAGTTACCGCCACTGGACTCTTTCATTCTTTCAACAGTAATCAGGAGTTGAGTATTAGCTGCCTCATTAGATAAGTCTTGTTATTGGCAGGCTGCCACAGGCCTTGCTATGCCCAACTCTCCCCCCATCCTGAGGCCAGGCCGTTATTACCACTCACTATTACCCAGAGGCGTTGTCCTTCCGATAAGTGAAAGTGAAATGTTCCCTACATCTATGCCTCTGTCCTAAGGGGGAAATGAAAGGTCCATAAATAAGAGAAAGCCTATTGTTTTCAATAAAAATGAAGGCTATTCCTACCTGTTGAGAGACCCGTCCCTCTGCATCCGTGATGCAGCATGCGGCCCCTCTGGGCACGAAAGCCCTGATGAGCACAGTGGACTATCGGCCCTCATTGACAGCTGTGAGGTTAGGACCTCCGCTTAGAACCGGGCAGTGGTGGCAGCGAGCACCCGGAAACCTTGCTAGGCCACGTCCCGAATGCTTGCTCTTTCCTGACAAGAGTGCTATTTCTACCATTGCTTCTGCCCATGTAAAAATCAGATGAACCTGGGACCAGCAGTTAGCGTAATGGCTATATTGCTGGACTCCCACGTAGTCGACCGCGGTTCATGTCCTGGACCCGGTGGCTTAAACTCACGCTGGGCACGTGTGCGTGTGTGCCCAAGATCCCGAGAGGAGAATGGAGGAAAAGGGATTGCGGCGTGGCCATCCCCCCGGGGGGTGATTTCTCGCTTTCTGTCTCTCTGTCTCTCTCTGTCTGTCTGGCGAGCGCATGCGCCCTACAGTGAAAATCTCTCAAAAAAAAAAAAAAAATCAGATGAACCTTATCTTCCCCACCAGGGGTTTCTGGATTTCAGTCTCTCTAATTAATTTCTATGCTCCATTAATCTTCGAGTCATTAAGGATTCTAGGCAAACACATATAACGTAAGCCTAGTAATCAATTTAATATTCTTTCACATGAAAATATTTATAAAATGGGATTGCCTACATTAAAAAAAAATTTTTTTTTTTGGTCAATCTTTATGTTCTTATCTGCATTTGCAGGGAGCTAGTCCTCATCTGTAAATTGTGAAAAAGCAGCTAGCCTGGAGGGACCAGAGAGCCTTGGCTTTGTTCAAGCAGAGATGGTCCCCTGTTGTGTCCTCATGATCATCATTATTATTATTATTATTTTTAGTTTTGCTATAGGATGCATGTGCTCACCAGAGAGAGATGGAGGGAGAGAGTAGGGAATTGAGAAATCACCCCCTGGGGAAATGGACATGCCACAATCCCGTCTCCTCCCTCCAGTCTCTTCTTGGGATTTTGGATTTGCATGCACGCACACCCGGTGTGTTTTTCAAGCTGTCAGGTCCAGGACTTGAATGCTAAGTCGGCTACGTGGGATCCAGACCTCTTAACCTCCATGCCACCTGCTGCCCCCACAGCCTAGTTTCTAATCCCAGCTCTGCCTTTTTCTAGCCAGGTGTCTGTTAGGAGTAATTTCTCTGAGCCTTGGTGTCTGCACCGGCCTATCAGAACTACTGTGTATTCCTCACAGAGAAGTTGCAAGCATTAAATGAGAGGATGGGCAAGGCCCAGCACACAGTCACTAGAGAGCAGCTGCTCCAGAGTCTTTCATCGGGGAACTGGGGAGAAGACTGGAGGAAAGCCTTAGGGTCTCTAAGTGACAAGGGACTGCGTGTAGGATGGGGTCCCATAGGATCACGACAGGCCATTCCAGAGCCCAGGTGAGTGGCAGGCTGGACCTTCTGGCTCATACGGTCTCTGAGGCTCACACAACACAATCGTCTCACAATGCATTTCTCAGAACGTGTCCCCATTGTTCAACCACACATGACGATTCTTAGAAGAGGGAATTTACAAGTTTTAGCTTTTCAAGTTTCCTAAATTTAATTTTTAAAAAATCATATTGTTAAAAAAAACACATTCTAAGACTTTCTTTAGGTTTTTCTCCATCTCTCTGTGTTTAGATGAACAGGGGCTCCCCATCATCATTTCATATTGATTCCATTGAAAGCTAAGTTTTACATATGTAACACAGCAGACCAGCGTCATTTGCAATGAGTTGTTTTTTTTTTTTTTTTTTTGGGGAGTTTTTTGCTATAGAGCAAGTGGGCTTGCCAGAAAGACAGAGACAGAGAGACAGAAGGTGAGAGATCACCCCCCGGGAGGATGGCCACACCACAATCCCTTCCCCTCCATTCTCTTCTCGGGATCTTGGGCACGCACGCACACGTGCCCGGCGTGAGTTTAAGCCACCAGGTCCAGGATTTGAACTGCGGTTGACTACATGGAAGTCCAGTGACATAGCCATTACACCAACTGCTGGTCCCACAATGAGCTATTTTTAATATTAAAAATCGTAATGGACCAACTGGTGGTGTGGTGGTTAAGACAGCTGGAGCCCTCATGGTCGGCCAAGCTACATGGTTTGACTCTTGGACTGACAGCTTGAAAAATCCCTCCAGGCACAGGTGTGTGCATGCCTAAGATCTCATGAAGAGGCTGAAGGAGGGACTGCAGCATAGCCATCCCCCTGAGGAGTGGGGGTAATTGATCTCTCTCTCCCTCTCTCTCTTTCTCTCAGGCAATGCACATACCCTATAGCACAACTGAAAAAAAAAGAAAGAAAGAAAGAAAAGCATAAAGATATAAGGTTAAGAATGAAATGTATTAGTGGTTTTTTTATTCTTCCAAAATTATACATCAAATATATATTATGTATATATATATTGAGTATTTCTTACCCAAAGTGCTTGGGATCGAAATTGAAA